CCCCCCCTCTGGGAGCCAGCAGGCAGGAAGCTAGCCAGCTGGAAGACTGGCACTCCCCACCCGAGGCTCCCTGTGCGCCAGAAGCCCTCCTTCCAGGGAACGACGAGGCCAGTTATAACCACTTTTTTAACTTTACACGCTGCAATATTAAATTCAGAATCTCTACTTAATGGGCCTATATTGACAAACTTAGCCTGATCCAGGTGTATGTTTTTCCCACCATAATCCCACCCCATCCACCTTTTTTGAGACAGAAAGACTTTGAATTTTCTATGCAGCCCAGAAAACTCCTAAAGATGACATACATGATGTGACCTATGTGGAGGTTCACTATCTTCCCAAAGAACTTTTTTTTTTAATGTTTTGTTTTTGTTTTTGTTTTTCTTCCGGGACCAGGAATCGAACTCAGGGCCTTGAGCTTGCCAGGCAGGTGCTGTGCCACTGAGCTAAATCCCCAGCTCCTAGAACTTTTTTTTTGGTACTGGGAATTAAACTGACAACCTCATGCTTGCCAGGCAGGCGCTGTGCTGCTGAGCTACATCTCCAGCCCCTAAGACATTGCCTAGTTCTATTTTATTATTTATTCATTTATTTATTTATTTTTGGTACTGGGAATCAAACTCAGGACCTTGTGCTTGCCAGGCAGGCACTTATGCCACTGAGCTATACCCCAGCCCCAAAGAACTTTTTTTTTTGAGACAGGGTCTCACTATATAATTCCAGCTGGCCTTGAACTCCCAGTGACTCTCTTGCCTCAGCTTCCCAAGTGCTGGGATTACAAGTGTGTGCCACCATGTCCAGCTCCAAAGAACATCTTGAGGATTACTGAGAGTCTGAAGCCAGCCTGGGCTACACAGTGAGACCCTGCCTCAAAACAAAAACAAAAACAATAAATAAAAAAGCTGGCCAGGGATATAGCTCAGCAGCACAAGCACCTGCCCGGCAAGCACAAGGTCCTGAGTTCGATTCCCAGTACCAATAAATAAGTAAATAAATTGCAGACTCCCATGACAGTCTGTATCAAGAAGCTGAAGAGTGTGCACTGCAGCGGTGAAGTCTGTGCTGATGCCAGATGGATGTCCAAAGGCGGTGGTGAAGACTGGAGCTCCTCTGTAAACACAGAAGAGAGGCTGCTTCTTCTTTCCCTTTTTATCCCATCCAGGCTCTACGCCTATGGGTTGGTTGGTGCCAGCACACCCAGGTGGAGTCTTCGCTCTTCAGTAAATCCATCATCCACACCCAGAACTCTGCTAAGCCGATCAGCTGGGTGTTTCTTGTTCAGGTGGCACCACTTTTAACTTTCACCGAGATATGTAAGGTCCAAGTCGTAACACACCTTTGCCTGGCTCCTGGAGTAACTGCAGAGAGGCTCATGCCGGCCCAGTCTTATGATTTAGATGCAAATGTCCCCAGGGGCTCTGTGTGTTCAGAGGCGGGGCTTTTGGTAAGTGAGTGGGCCATGGGCATGCTCTGCGTATTGGTGGATTTACCCACTGGTGAGTTCAGTAGCTGAGTGCTGCTAGAAGGTGGGCATGGTCTGCACAAGCAGGCCACCAGGGAGTGACCTAGAAAGTTACAATGCTCTCTTCAATGCCTTTCCTTCTCTACTTTTTGGCCACTGATGTAACTTCCCTCCATGGTGCCATTTCCATGTCTGAGCCAGCCAACCACAGACTGAACCTGTGAAACCATGAGCCACAATAACAAGCTGGCCTTGGAGCCAGCTGACAAGGGACTGACACCTCTGCAAACTGTGAGTGCAATAACCGCAATGAACCTCTCCTTTTTTTTTTTTTTTGGAGACAGGGTCTCACTATGCAGTTCAGGCTGGCCTTGAGCTCACTTTGGAGCCCAGGCTGGTCTCAAACCCTCAATGATCCTCCTGCCTCAGCCTCCTGAGTGCTGGGATTATAGGTGTGTGCCACCACGCCCAGCCCTCTCCTCCTTTAAATTGTGGGTATCAGGTGTCTTGTCCTAGCAGTGAGAAAGTCAGACAGTGTGACTCCCTCAGTGAGTTTCCCTTGAATGAGGACAACCTTTAGGAATAAACCTCTCAAGGAATCTCACCTTGACCTCATACATTCCACCCCTTCCTAATTTATAAAACTACTAAATATCACTGAGCCTTATTTCCCACTATATTCCACTTTTGGTGGCCTGCCTCTGCCTCCCTTGACCCTCAGACAAACTACTCTCAAGACAAGAAGGCTTTTATTTCTTATAGGACTTCAGTCTGTGACAGGCCAGAGTTCGTCACAATGGGTAAGCTGGTCTACCTAATAACCACTCTTGGCCTCTCAGCCTGTTCCCCTGCCTCTTTTTCTCTCTCCAGTGCTGGGGATGGGACTCAGGGCCTCATGCATGCTGGTGAGTCTACCCCAGCCCCGTCACTGTCAGGTGTCACTGTCTTCTGCGTTGATGTGCTCCATTGTGTCACATGCCATGGCCCATGTGTCCCTGCGTATCCTGAACACTTGCCTGTGAGCTGCCACGTCTCTTCTCGGCATCACACAGGGGTGGAATGTTATGGTTTGTCTGTGTGTCCCCCCAAAGCCTCATGCGGCCATGGGGCAGGCTTTTAAAGTTTGATTGATTAGGGGTGTGAGAGCTGCACCCACCCTGGGGTGGATAGTTTGCATATGTAAGGGAGAGGAAAAGGGTGCTTGAGGCGATTCCTCCCCCATTCCTACCTGGTATGTGTGGTGGTTGCTTTTGCTGTGTTCTGCTGCCATGAGCTGTAGGTCTTTGCCATGTGCCACTCTGCCTTGTAATCTGCCAAATATGGACTGGAACCTCCACGAACTGTAAGCGAAATAAACCTTTCCTTCCTTAATTTTGGGTGTCAGATATTTTGTCCCAGCAACGAGAAAAAAGTAACCAAGACAGGTGTGAAGCACGCAAACTACATTTACCAGAACCTATGTGCTATGGTTTGTGTCTAGATGTCCCCCAAAGCCTCATGCAGTCATAGATAGGTGGCGATTTCCAGAGTGGTTGGATCTAGAGTGCGTGATTACTAAATTCACCCACTGATTGGTTTGGCATAGTTCTGGGTGTGGAGAATGGAAGGCCCACCCTGGGTGTGAGTGTTACCCGCCCTATGGGCACGTAGCCTGGATAAAATATAAGGGACATCGGGAGGCTGAGGCAGGAGGCTCTTTGAGAGTTCCAGGCCATCCTGGGCTACATAAGTGAGTTCTACACCAGCCTGAACTGCATAGTGAGACCCTGTCTCAAAAAGACAGTATGACAGAAGGAGGGTTGTGCTGATCTTGCCGCTGCTTCGCTGCTTTGCTGCTTTCTGTCTGAACTGTTTCTCCTCTGCGATGCCCCTCCGCCATGCCACACTGCCTTGGAGCCAGCTGACAATGGACTGAAACCTCTGCAAACTGTGAGCAGAAATAAACCTTCCTTCCTGTAACTTTGGGTGTCAGGTATTTTGTCTCAGCAAGAAAAGTATCTAAGACACTGTGCCTGGTAGGAGGCACTAGCAGGTAGTAGAAGCCGTGTGGTGGTTCTGGATTTGGGGTGGCAGGAGTGACCAGCAAATATGCCCCCGGTGGCTTGTCAAAGCTGCAAGCTTCTGTGCCGGGCGTGGTGGCGCAAGCCTGTAATCCCAGCACTAGGGAGGCTGAGGCAGGAGGATCATTTGTGAGTTCAAGACCATCCTGGGCTACAAAGTGAGCTCAAGACCAGCCTGAACTGCATATCGAGACCCTGTCTCAAAAAGACCAAAAAAAAAAAAAAAAAAAAACAACAACAACAAAAAAAAAGCTGCAAGATTCTAAGAGGAACACCAGCTGCAGCTCTGGGATCACGGCTCTGGGCGACACCTTTGCCCCTCCAGCCCCAGTGTATAGGCAGCTTCTAGCAACCCACCTCGTCTCTCCCTTCCACAGCTGTAACCAGTCCCTCACGTCCAAGTCTCTGTTTGAAGCCCCTGGGCAGCTTCCATTTTCCTGACTCTGCCCCGGCTGATCCTGCTCTAAGCAGCATAAATATCTTCCCAGGAAACAGTCTCTCAAGGCTAGAAACTTGGAATCACTTATTTTCCTCCACTGAGCTGGAACCCAGGAGGTATAAACTCAGCGCAAGGGGGAAAATGGTTCCTGAAGTCTCAGCACTCAGTACTATGTTCAAATATGCACCCCCTGGGGCTCATGTATTGGACATTTAATCCCCAGTGCAACAATGTCGAGAGGTGGGGCCTTTACGAGGTGACAGGTTGACGGCTCTGCCCTCCTGGATCGACTGATGTCATCACTATAGGTGGCTTCCTACATGCTCATGACAGGATGAGCACGGTTCTCCTCTCACCCTTGCATGTACATGCTCTTGTTCTTTTACTTTCTGCCATGGGGTGATCAGCCCTTGTGGGCCCCTTGGACTTTGGACATTCCAGCCCCTAGAACTGTAAGAACTGCATCTCCATTCTTTATCGATTACCTAGTATTGAGTATTCTGTAATAGAAGCACAAAGTGCACTGAGACAGTGGAAAAACTAGTACTTTCAGGATCACTTATTTTAGCCTGATTTGGTGGCACATGCCTGTAATCCCAGGGGGCTGAGGCAGGAGGATTGCTGTGAATTTTTTTTTTTTTTCTTTTTGAGACAGGGTCTCACTGTGCAGTTCAGGCTGGCCTTGAGCTCACTTTATAGCCCAGGCTGGTCTCGAACTTGCAAAAGTCCTCCTGCCTCAGCCTCCCCAGTGCTGGGATTACAGGTGTGTGCCACCATGTCCGGCAAAACCTGGGAGTCTGCATGGCTGCTGCCCCCACCTGTGAGACTGGTGTGGCAGGTGGCTTCTGACAACTGGGGATTTGCAGAAAGAACATGACCAACAACTTAGCTCACGGCACTGACAGAAAAGCACAGCACGTTTGACAACCAGAAAAGCATCTTTAATACCTTGTAGCCATAGGACGGATACAACTGAAAACAACCCTAGATTTGATCCTGCAGGTTGCAGAGTTGAGTTGAATTCACAGCCTTGTCGGATTTCTTACACGAAATTTAGGGCACTGATCTGAAAGGAGTGGGACCCTGAGAAGAGCAGAAGGGTGTGTGGATGGATGCCAACGAGTCTGAGACTCCTGAACTGAGGAAGGACAGTGTGAGTACACAGCCAGGCGCCCCAAGAACGCTCCAGCTCCGACCCCAGCTTCCCATGTGATTTGGCCGTGCACGTGCCGGCCAGGCACCCTCCTGCAGTCCACACCTGACAGCTCAGCAGAGCCCACCTCAGCCCTCCAAGTGAGCAGGAAGTCGCTGGAAGTTTTATTGCTTTCTGATGCAGGCTGTCACCTAAGTAGACGAGACCACACACAGGCTTGGAACCATCTAGAGGGCAGGAACGAGGCTTGGAGCCAGTGTCCGCTAGCTGTGCGGCCAAAGATGGGAAACCCCCTCACAAGACCCTCAGCCTCCTCATCTGCTCAACAGGCCCGTGATTAGTACCTCTCAGGACTACCGTGACAATCAACGGCATATGACTGCGAAGCGCGTGGCACCCGCTGTCTCCTCCCCTCTTGCCGCGGCAGCCACGTAACCCCGCAGCGGGAAGGAAGAGGAGAAATCCCCACTCAGTTGGACACGTCTTGGCAGCCAGGGAGCAGGGATGCGGGCTTCGGCACGGTGCACAACTCCTGTGGTTTTGGGCTTTGGAAACCTGACCACTGCTCCCTGATGTCCGAGCCTCACCTCCCTGCTCTGGTCCAGAAGTCTCCCGAGAGTTTGCAGGACCAAATACAGCTCTCCTGTACAAGGCTGACAGGACCTCGGGGCTGCGCAGGCAACACAGCAGGGCTGGACTGCACACCTGGGGGAGGGGAGGGCCAGGGCGTGGTGCCCAGGATGGAGGAGTCAGCACCGTGGCACAGGCTGGGGATGGAATCCTGATGCCACTGACATGCTGGGTCCCTTAGAGCCTTGTCCTCTTCTGGAGAATGGGGTTGCTCCCCCAGGCAGGCAGTGATGTTCAAAAACAAGAGGCTGTGTAATCCCAACACCAAGGGAGGCTGAGGCAGGAAGGTTCCATGTTCAAGCCCAGCCTCAGGAAGTTAGTGAAACTCTCTCTCAAAGCGAAAAGTTAAAAGGGCTGGGGATACAGCTCACTGAGAGGGGCTCCTGAGTTCAACCCCCAGATCTGCTTTTCTCAACCTGTGCAAGGATGGAGCACCCCAGCTGATACCTCCTGCCGGCAATTTTATTCCTGGAGGCCCAGGGTTCTCTGTACCACTCCCCCCTCCCAAAAAAACCCAGAGCAGGGCACCTGCACAGCCTGTCTTTGCCCTTTCTCACCCTAGGGTGCCCCTGCCCCCATGCTGCCCAGGCTCCTCAGTTAAGACTGGCAACCCATCCATCCATCACGGGACCAAGCACAGGCCCTGGGAGGAGCCCTGCAGGCCCTTGCCTTGCACTGAGTGTCTCGTGAGGTTTGGAAGCCTGCAAAATGACAAAGGAGGTCTAGCCTGCCATTGGCCCCAACACCACTGGCGCAGGTCCTGAGTGGAAAAGGCACATGCGTTACTGCCTCGCAGACGGAGAAAAAACCCCAGGGGAGCACAAACCCTGCGGCAAGCTGCTGGTGTGGTGGGGCAGGAGTCCCCGTGCCCCTGGCTGCACCCAGGACCCCTGCAGCCAGCTCCTAGGACTCGGGAAAGGGATAAGGTGAGGCGGGAACTGGACGGATGGGGGAGCACCGGAGGGGCTGAACTGGGCTGCGGCTCCAGGTGGGCCATGTGGTTATTGCTGGGTCACCACGCCCCATGGGGAACCTCGGGGTCTGGCACAGCGCTGCTGAGCCCCCAGGGTGGGGTCAGTGGTACTTTAAGGCAGCCTGAGGCGCCAAGGATGCTTGTGTCACCCTGCGGGGACATGCGACAAGCCCACCAAGGAAGCCCCAGCTGTTTCTCCTGGGCCAGTCCTCCAGGGCTTCCACTACCCCAGCCTCCTTGTTCAAGTACTGTTTGGTGGGCTCACAGCCCTCACAGAAAGGCCCCTGCTGTTGGGCGTGTGGGATCTCAGCTCGGGGCAGGAAGAGCAGGGCCGGCTGCTGCCTCTGGACACGGGTCCCTGGGCCACCCTGAGAGGACCCTCCTGTGGGCACGCTGGGGCCCCTAGGCCACAGCATCCTACGGGCAGGACAGCCTGCGAGGGAACTTGGGAGAGGTACCCTTAGGGAGGGGAGGATGAGGCCCCCAACCCATGCGGCCCAAGGCAGCGGGGAAGGTGCAGACCTTGGCCAGCCCACGCGGCTGCCCAGGGGCCTACAAGGAATGGCGCCTCAGAGGACATCTCTCCTTCTGGCAAGTTCTCCCCGGAGGCCCAGGGTTCTCTGGTCCTTAAGAGTACTTGGCAGAGGTAAGGATGGTGCAAGGGGTAGGGGCACCAGGCTCTCCTGGGCCCACAGTATAGGAAGAGTAAGTGCTAAGGGCAGCGGCTGCTGCTAGCGCAGCCCAGGGTTCACAGCGGTGGGGGACGAGGGCAGCGGACTCGGGGGCAGCAAAGCAGGCTGCCAGGCTGTCTCGTGTGTGCAGATGCCAACACCCCTGGCAAAGGCGAGAAGCCGTCTGAGCACGTGCGACTGGGATGGGCCCTGAGCTGCTGCGGCTGGGGGAGCTGGAGGCGTCTGTGCCAAGACTGGGGCAGGGAGGGGTGGAGGACACCCACAGGCGAGGCCAGCACCAGAGGAGTCGTGACGGGCACTCCCCAGCACCCACCCGCCTGGGGTTGGGTACTGCAGGAGGGCGGGGTGGGGGGCCTATCAGCCTCTTGCTGGGGCACCCTGAGCCCACCCGAGACCCCCAGATCCCTGGGAGGGGCCTTGTTGACTAACACCTCGACCCTAGGTGACTCCTAGGTCACCCCCCAGCTCTCCTGAGAACTGGATCTGACCTTTGTGGGCAACGAGGAAAAGAGGTCCAGAAGATAAGCCCTAGCCAGTCCCCCAAGAGGTGGGTACCCTGGGGCCAAGGTATATTCAGTGAGCCTCCCCAGGGCGTTGCCAGGAAAGCTGGTATGGGAGGGGCCCTGGGACTTGGGACAGGCCTGCCCACGGCTGGCCACAAAAGAGAACACTCTGGGGACGGGTGGCAGCAAGGAAATCCCTTGGGCTGAAAGGCCCCTGCCCCGTGGGTGACGACGGTGCTTGCTGGGGGCAACATGCCTCCCTCCTCCCCCAGTTCCAAGGTCAGCCCTCTTGGAAAGCCCAGACAGGTGGTGGCCGGAAGGCCACGCAGGGCCGGGACCCTGTGATGCTTGTCAGGCTGCACTCACTCGGGCGTCCCAGGTCTGGCAGATGGGGGTTGGGTAGCCCCGCTCAGGCCAGGGCATGGGAGACCTCGTTTTCCTGCAGAGTGGATGGAAGATGAGGGTACCAAGCGGAGGAAGATACCCACTGGCCCAGCCTGTCCCCACCCACGTCCCGGGCACACGTGTTGGTGTGAGCACACGTGCAGTGAAGCCTGGGCCGGAGTTCCACCCACCACCCCGCGCTCTCGTACCAGGGACGCTGCCCCGTACTGTGGCTCCACCACCTGTGCCAGGGCACTGAAGTCTGAGCAAGAGAAGGGGGCAGTGCTAGTGGCAGCGGAGGCTTGGCACGACCACCCGGGGAAGTTGGCACATCAAGTCTCTTGTTGCCCCTCTCAGCTCTGGGGAGCACCCTCCTCCTCTGCAGGAGGGACTGCGCTCTAGATGGTGGCAGGGGTCCCATGCCGGCCTCCCGCTGACCGCAGAGCAGGGATCCAGTGGGCCCCAGGCCCCCTTGCGGTGCCCACAGAAGCTCTGTGCAGGCTGGAGCGTCTCTGCAGGAGGGGCTGTGGGGACCGCGGCCACCTGGCCTTCCTCCTCTCAGCCACTGCAGCACCCAGCCTCAGGCAGCCGCCTTCAGGACCTGGCCCTCGGCTGGGTGGGCATCCTTACAAAAATAACTCTGAGCCTGTTCCCAGGGCGGGAGCAGGGTCCTGAGCGCGCGCGGCCTGGGAGTCCGCATGGAGGGAGGGCCACAGGGCCTCGCCGGCGGTCACGGCTGCAGGCGCTCCAGGTACTGCGGCAGCGGGTTCTCCTTGACGTACTTCTGGATGTACCAGCAGGTGAGATGGGCCTTCAGATCCTCCTCCACTACGAAGTCCAGGGCAGCCTGGGGGCCAGGGCAGAGGGGAGAGCCAGTGGTCAGAGCTCCCAGCCCGAGAGGGGGGCAGTGGTGGGCTCCACCCACAGCCCTCAGGCTCCATGGACACCCTCCCACTGAGCTCAGGTCGGTGACTCCGAGTTTCCTTCTTGGTAACCAGGACGACCCCACAAACTGGTCTGGTCCCGTGTGAGAGGACAGGAATCCCACAGAGCCCCAGAAGGCACCAGGGGGTGGGTGGAGGAGCCTGGTCCAGGCCCAGGCTGGAAAGCAGAGGCAGGACAAAGAGCCTTCGAGGCCAGCTCAGCTCCCCTAGCAGCCCTTGGGGCAGGCAGGCCTTTCTCTGCTCCCGCTGCAGCCTGGGTCAGGGCTCCGGGAACGACGGATGCGCAGAGGCACCGGCTTGAACACTTGCCCATCTCCTCCACAAGGACTTACTGTGCACCTACTACGTTCCGAGTCCTGGGGCCACAGGGCAGGGTTAGGCTGCACCAGGGCTCTGCAGATCAGGAGCCTGGGCCCAGGCGGGCAGTCATTTGCCCTTAGAGGACCTAGGAGAGGACTCGTGCTACCCAACATCCACCCACCGCCCACTATAACCTACTGGCAGGGCCAGCCTGTAGGTCTGTGCTTGCCCAAGAAACACACACTGCCGAGGGGGACGGTGGTAGCTCAGGTCCCCTGCCTGCCACCCCCGCTACCTTGGCAAGGTGCTTGGCAATGCCGCGGCCACGGTAGGCGTCAGGGACCTCTGTGTGCTGCAGGTCCACGATTCGCTTGCCCACGTACTCGTACAGCAGGACAGCTCGGTCGTGGCACCCTGGGGGAGAGGTGGAAACAGATGAGGCCGTGCAGACTCCAGGCTCTGCGGGGCTGACCCGGGAGACGCAGGCACTGGGGCGGGCCTGAGCAGCCTCTCCGTGCCTGAGCTTCCCTGTGCATATAGTGGGGGTCGATGAAACACTCCTGCCAGGGTCACCTGGAGGGTTACATGAGGTAATCGCTGTACAGCGCTCAGGGTGTGCCAACAACACTGAAGCCTCGCCACCACCCCGCCTCACAGCACCCCTCCCCTTGATCGAGCCCTGTGCTCTGTGCCCCAGCTCAGTCACCTCCGGGGAGCAGGAGCCTTAAGGTGCAGCAATGGACACAGAGCAGGCCCAGCGAAGCCACCACCAAGGCAGAGAAAGAAGACGGGGGAGGCACCACCACCAGGAGCAGCAGGACCACTCCCTGGACCCTGGCAGAGACGTGGCGAGGAAGGGCAGAGGCACAAGCACCCAGGAGAAACTGCTGCTGGGCCCGGGAGGCAGGAACACACAGGGCTTCATCCCCCCTAGACCTGCCAGGAAAAGAGCTCGGCAGCCACGCTAAGCGCCTGCTGGACAAGAGTGAACTGAAGTTCCTCCACCCACAGCTGCTAGTTCCATCTATCTGTCCATTCATCCGTCTCTCCACTCATTCATCTACTCACCTGTCCATCCACCTACCCATCCAGCCAGTCTCTTGTCTACTCACCCATCCACTCACCCACTCACCCATCCATCCATACGCCCACCCCGTGTTTTTGGAGCTCCAGGCACTGTTTAAGGTGCTGTATGCATAGCAGTAAACAAGACAGACAAGGACATCTGCCCTCATGCAACTGCCTAGAAGGAGAAAGATAAACAAGAGCGAGGGAATATGCAGCGTGGGAGGGGACGGGCAAGGGTGTGAAAAGAACTGGGTGGGGAGTGTTCCAGGAAAGGCAGCCAGCACAGGCTCTGAAGCAGCAGCGGGCCTGGAGGAGGGACAGCGAGGACACGGGGATGGCTGGAGGGCAGGGGTGAGGGGCAGGGGAGGAGGTGAGGGCCAGGAGCCCAGGGGAAGGCCCTGCACAGCCTTCTATGCCACTGTGAGCCACAGGAGGGGCCTCAGCAGAGAGCAGATGACTTCACAGGGTCCCTGTGGCCACCATGGGGGAACTGGCCAGGGGCAGGGCGAGCCGATGCAGGCCGCGTGGGTAAGAGAAGGGGCAGACTGCGAGGCTGCTTGGGAGGTGTGCCGGCAGGGTGTGCTGACCGTTTGGATGTGGTCAGTCAGAGGAAGAAACGCCAAGGGCAAACTCAAGGCTCCTAATGTCAAGGTGCTGCACGCGTGTACACGAAGTACATAAATACGCAGGGCCCAGGAGGGGCAGGGCCCCTAAGCCATGTGCAGGGGCGGTGTTGGCAGGAGGTGGGCTCTCAGGAGACCTCTGAGCTGACAGGAGAAGTGGAGGCGGTACTAGCAGAGGAAGGACAGGCAGAGGGCAGAGCAGTGCTAAGGTCCCAAGGTTGGAAGACGCGATTTGCTGGCCTTAAAAGAAGACACGTCAAAGCCAAGTGTCTTTCTCTACTTGCTGAAAGCAAAGTGTATTTCATGTATTTTAACTTTAAAGCAACTTCCTCCTACATGCTGTTGGGGCTCAGATTGTGTAGATTTCACAAGAGGCAGATGGACACAGGGAGAGGTCAAATGACCAGCCCGGGTCACACAGCACATCAGAAGCCAGCACAGGACCCCTTGTCTCTCCCAGCTTCCCGGTGAGGGGGCCACGATTCTGCCCTGCCTTCAGATGAGGAGACAGAGGCCTGAGAGGCCCGAGCCACAGAGTCACAGAGTGGGTTCCAGGCCCCAGGCCCGGTGCATGCTTTCTGCTCCACCCAGTGTGTCCTCTGTGTCTGGCTCCAGTCTTTGCCTGGGCAGCTCCCCTGGCTTCCACTGCCCTTCCCTTCTGAGTGGTCCAGCAGTGATCCCCGCTCTGCCTCCCTCCAGGCCCCAGCAACGGCGCCCCTCCTTGTGCTGGGACCACCATCCTGCGGTAGCCCCGCGGCAAGTCAGTTCCCAGCTCCACCCTGCAGGGGCTAAGCTGGCTCACCCAGGACGGGTCAGGCAGGTGGGAACTGATCTAGTCAGTGAGGGAGATGCCCACCAGCCCTGACCACTCCACCAGCCCTGACCACTCCAGCACCCCAACGTCACCAAAGGCCTACTATGTTCTGCGGTGCTGGGCAGGTGGCAACGGACAGATGAGACAGCCCTCCCTCCCTCGTGGAGGGTCCATCTCAGTGGGACAGTGAGCAGTATTATAAATGACAGGGGGGCGGGGATTTAGCTCAGCGGCATAGTGCCTGCCCGGCAAGCACAAGGTGGTGAGTTCAATTCCTGGTACCAGGAGGGGGAAAAAAAAAAAGGAAGAAAAA